AGCTTAAAAAGCTGATTCCTGTTTAAAATGATGACTAAGACTCTTAGGAATCTAACTCCCAAAGTCACACAGGTAGTTTTGAATATGTTACCCTTTTAGAGTAATTATGCCATCAAGGTTCCAGTCAAAAGCTGATGAGCGTTACTAATATATGCTGGTGAGAGAGCCTGTACATGGAAGACCTTCTTGGTTTATTTACACTACAGTAAGTCAGAAAGTGCCAGCTAGGTCCCCAACAAGAAAGCACATCAAGACTTACTCGCACATACAAGAGTAACAGACCTGACTGCAGGAGACACTTAACCACGTTAGCCCTCAGCTCAAGGAGTAAGTTTACTGTAAACCGGCTGCAAGCTGATGCAGTTGTACCTGTTTTCACTGGAGGTGATGGAAATTCGTTTGGTCTTCAGTAGACTAACACTACTCACTACATAAACCAGTCTGGCCCATCACCTGAATCCTTACAAGTCACCATTCAGACACAAAATAGTCCCCAGGAAGTCCTCAGTGACATTCATGTCTAGACCAAGAACTAGGCAGATACAGTCAAGAGAAGGGATGAAGACACAATAAGCCATTTTTACCACCCCACATAAAGTTATATATTTGGTACAACATTCTTTTCAGAAGTAGACCTTCTCAAAGAGAAGGCAAGAGAGGCATTATGTTATCTGGGGGAAGGGTGAAGGAGTGTCACCAACTCTTAAAGCTGCTCTACAGTAGAAGATGAAGGTACAAGCAAGTAGTTCAAGATTTTAATCTTAAATCTATCAATAGCAAACAAATTCTGAGGCAAATTAATTTGGTTAAAAGTTAATAAAAAGTTGTAGAAGCACTGAGCATTTCTGCTGGTCAGTTCTAGCCAGAAGAGAAGCAGGAAGGGGAATCCCATCCCAGCAGGTCTCAGATACTTGGATGCCTTCTGAAGTACCTCAGCATTTGCTATATTTATTCTCCCAACACACCCTATAAAGTAGTAACTTCTACTGACCCATTTTAGAAAGAAGAAAAGTAGATTCAGTGAGAGGTAGATTGACTGGTATCTATAAGAGCTGTTGACCTTAGCCTACCCACCTCAGGCCAGTCTGTGACAGAGAAGGTACTTGGGGGTAAGTTTCCCATCTCTTCAGCTAGCTCCAGCAACTGGACTGGTCTCCCAGATGAAACCCAAATGCCTAAGCAGCACTAAGGACCACTTACTGAAAAACTAGTCTCTGAAGAAGTAAAATTGCAGGAGAGTCAGTAATAAATACCATAAGTAGTATAAGTACAGCAAACTGCTTATAAATGTTAACTTCCCCACCCCTGCCCCTACCTCTTCCCTCAACTGTTATTTCAAGAGACATATTTTTGTACAATTATTTCATCATCTAAGAACAGGTGGCCAGTTTGCCATATCTCTAGGCAAGACTTCCATACATATTACTCCTCCGTTTACATTTTCTCACATAGACACATGCATGGATCAGCAATTGCTCCACTACGTTCTCAAACAGAGAATAAGAGAGTTATAAATCTCAAAAGAATGAGTATGCCAAAAAAATCAGCATCTGAAGTTACAGCTGTTCATTTCTCCTCTGTTCAGGAAGAGCCAGTTGTGGCTTATTGTAGATGTTATTGAAGTTGATGGACTTGCTCTGGATTTACTTTGGATACAATCAATCAGGATGTGACCCCCTGGAACACTGGAACTTTGTTTCCCCGTGGAGAAAAATACAGCCAATGACACTCAAGTAGAAGAGGGAGGTTATTCTCCCCTCCCCAGTAAGTATCTTCTGTCAAATACCTCTGTAAACAACAACAGGAGAAAGAAGCAACAACTCCACCAAGGAGTGGGCTAATGTTCCTCCCATCTACCAGTCCCACGCTCATTCTGTTTTCACTTGGACCAAATCCTCTCAATCCTTCATTACACTTGGGTGCCTTATACACCAAGAATACTATCATCAATCTTTGAAAGGTCACTTTCAAGGGACATTTCCATTTCCATATCCTTTAGCACAACTTCCTCAGCCCTGTTTTGGAAGCCTGAAAATTCCCCGTTTTTCATATAGAATCTGTCCCCTTAGCCCTGATCTACTCATTTATGACAGTAAAAGCTTATGCAAACACTACCACCATTCAAAAACACTCCCCTTTTCATCCCTGTGGATTCATGTTAATATTCTCCACCTCCAGAGTCTGAAGCACTCTCTGCGCTGAGGGCTGCACATTCCCATGCTGAGGTGCAATCCCTCCTGCCTCCACCTCTCCAGGCAAGAGAGGTAAGGGGATGAGCAGTCATGAAGAAGTTACAATGCTGAGGCAAAAGCAGCTCCACAAGGCGTAGGGGCACCGCACCCCAGTGGAGGCTCCTGCTGCAAAGGCTGAGAGAGCCTGATGTGGGGAGCCACCAGGAGTGACAGCGTGGCTGCAGCAGTGACAACCAAACCAGGCAAAGCCAAATTATTAGGACTGGTCCAGCTGAAGTCTGGAGCCTAAAACTTTCATAGGGCAGAGTGATTCATCCTAATGAACTGACCTGACTCACCTGGAGCCAGCAGGTCAGTAGGGATGCCAGGGTTGGCAGCTGTGGGTAGAGGTTCTTGGCTTGAATCCATTCACAAAAATATTTCCCAACACAAAGAAGGAAGATAGAAATAAACAATCAGAAATCAATGAAGCCATACAGCTTTTCTCAAGGAGCTGTCCAGAATTAAGAGCAGAAGGGAGTAGAGTTTCTGCCCCAGTGGTCTCAACAGTGAAACACCACCAGGAGCACATGGTGTGAGCTAAAGGGCCATGGAGATCTCAGGTACAGGGCACTGCTTCCAGTTTGCAGTTAAAGAAGAGCCCACAGAAGAAATCACAGCATAATGTCAACAATAATCAATCATCACATCCATTTTTCCTATATGCACCTGCCCTTGTGCTGCCATCATGTACTACTTTGCCAATGACACCACCAGCTCACACGCAGGACTCATCCTTCTCCTTCCAGTCTCCAAATTCCATGTCTCTGCCAGTGCCAAAAAAATCTGTGGGGAGAAGGAAGGAAGACCTCTCTAACCACCAGATGACAGAGTTTTATTCCTCAGTGTTAGCCTCAGGCCCAGTTTAAGAAAAAAACACCCAACGCAACATATACAAAAAACTCCCCACATGAAGAAGGCAAGTTTAGTTTCTGTAATTCTTAGTTCCGGCTTGTGGAAACACCCACCAAAAACTTCAATAAATAGAACTGCCTCTCACATCATTTCTGTAAACTGATGCCGGACCAGCTCTGACCCTGGTGCAGCTGCTCTGGTTCGGGAGTTGTGCTGGTGGGGTGTTTGGCCCTCTGCAACCCGGGTTATGTGCCCTATTGTACAGGATATCTCCTGGAATGGAGAAGCAAAATCAAAGAAAGACAAACAAACTGATACAGTAATATGATGTATGTATGTTCATCATATGTAATATGATGAACACCTATTTTTCTATATACACTATTGTTTTTAAAGGAGATGCTGTCAGCTTTGTATTTTCAGACTCAGGTATATAGAAATAGAGATTCTACCTCTCTTAGGCAGTTCAAAGCTATACTACAGAGAGGTGGTTTTTTTAAAGCTATTACTTCATAATTTCCTTGCCGCACCCCTTGTTCTCTCTTATCTTTCTCTTAGCCTCCTTAATTTAATAGACCCTATTCTTGCAAAGCTCTTTACAAATGCAGAGCAACAGAAAGAACCTTTCGTAAAGAAAAATGACAGGTTTGGGCCTTTGAAATGCATCTCTCTCATGCAGAAACAGCCTGAGCTGAACAGATAATTTCACAGTGAAAATTCAAAAAGCAGATCTATAGTCAGGTCTGACCACAGAGTTGGTGTGCTTTTCTTAGTACCAGCTATTGCATGAACAACAGTTTCCAGATAAGACATACATAGAACATTTCCAGTAAACAGCACCCCTTTAAGCCTGCCACCAAACTCTGAACTTAGACGACTTAAGTAACCTAACAAGTTGGTGGCTTAGATTTTTATATTTCTGTAACATTACCACAGAACAGTGCCAGCTGACAGTGCTGAGGGGCAGCAGTTCCCTGTGCTGGGAAAAAGCCTCACATTGGGGTCAGGACTCCACTGGGTGCTTTGGTCTTCTAACAGAAGCCCAGTCGGACCTGCCGGTGTGAAGTCCCATTTTGTTGCCTAACGTTATCAGCTCGACAGGGAAGGTCACTGGAGCAGCGAAGTGCAGGATGCTTCAGACTGGTCCACCCGAGGTCTAACACTTAACTTGCTCCTCAGCCCGTAGTCAGCGTGGCTGCATCTCAGTTTCTCTGTTTAGGAAGCACTTTTTTCTACACTGTTCCTCGGGCTCTTGAGCCGTTGTTAAAACAAATAAACAAAAAAGCTACAAGTTTTCTTTCTAATCCCCAGCAATCCCAATCACGAGAGCTGAAAAATCCTTGTCCTTCAACTGTGGTTCAGTTTGTTTTCTTAAAGCAGAGAGTAAAGCAAAGTAAAAGTAAAGTAAAACCAGAAAAAACCCAGTACCTCCTCCTTTCCTTGTTTCTTCGTAATTGAAGATAGCATCGCTATCTTTCTTCTAAAAGTCTAGCAAACAACTCAAGCACATGAATATGGAAGCTTTCACAAAGTACTCAGTTGTCCAAGAGCAGTTTTAATGCAAGATAAGAAACTTCGCCATAACCAGATCAGATTAGAACACACACAGGGTAGGAAAGTAAAATATTATCCTAGCTCTGAATCTGTGGCGTTGGGGGGGGGTGGTGGTGGTGGTGAAGGGGGATGACACAACACTGACACAAGCAAAATCCTAAGAAACTCTCAATTTACAAAGACCTTCCATTACACAGCGTAACTCAGAGCGACCCCTCTCCTGAGCGCGCACACCCAGGAGACACGGACCCCACAGCATTCCGAGCACTGCGCCACGCACTCCCTTTTCTTCCCAGCGCTCGGCAGGGCAGGGGAGCCCCCCGGGGCCCGCAGCCCACCCGCCGCACGGAGCCCCCGTACCGTCCGTCCCGCGTCCGGCGCTGCTGCGAGCGGCGGCTCCGCGGCCACGGCCGGCGACAGCCCTTCCTTGGCGACACCGAGCCCCGGCCAGGGAAAGCGGCGGTGCCCGGGGCGCGCTCCTCCCGGCCCGGGGGCTCATACCAGCGCGGGGCGCCGCATTTCGACAGGAATCGCTGTGGGGAGAGGAGGGGAGAGCAGGCGAGAGGGAAGCCCCGCCGCGGTCACCGCCGGGTGTCACGGCGGTCCCGCCCCTCCCGCGGACTCGTCACGCGTGGAGCGCCGCCAGTGCCGCGGCGCTGTCCCACACCCCGCGGGGCACGGGCGGGACGAACTGCGGGTTATTGTTCGCCTGACCGTGTCCCCCCCAGCGCCGCTCACAGAGCGGAACACAGCAAACAGCCCCGCACCGAGCCCGCTCCCCGCCCGCTCACCCGGGCTGCGGGACGCGCCCTTAGCGCCCGCCCCTGCCCGCCGAGAGGCGCCCGCGGCCGGGCAGCGCCGCCGACCCCCGCCCGCTCTCGCCCCGGCGGCCGCGGCAGCGCAGCCCGCGCCCGGCCATCCCTTATATCGCCGCGGCGGCTGCTATAAATAGCCCGGCCCCGCCGCCGGGGGCCGGGCTGCGCGCCGCCGGAGGGGGTTTCGCGGCTGTGCGGGGACCCGCCATCACCTGCGGCTCGGCGGCAAGGACGCGTCTGTCACTTTGGACCCGTGTCGGTGCCGCTCTCCGGCGGGCGCGGGCGGCGGGGCGGCTCCCGGGGGGCCCGGGCCCGCCGACCCCCGGCGCGGCAATGGGCCCGTCCGCCGCCGCGTTAAGGTGGAACCGCGGGGCGGGAGCGGCCGCGGCACCTTAAGCCGCTGGGGCCGGTCCTCGGCCCGGCTCTCCCCGCCCGGCGCCCCCGGCCCCGCGGGGCTGGGGCTCAGGGGGAGCGGAGCGACCCTCCGGGCCGTGGGGGTTTGTGCCGCCGCCAGGAAACGAGGAGGAGGAGGAGGAGAAGGAGAATGAACAGCCGGTTCTCTGCCTGATGGACGAGGCAGCAGCCGGAGGGCACGGGATGATACAAACGCCGCTCATGCCACATGAGCACAGCACACACCGAGCCTTTGAGAACCAGCTGCTATACGCACACCAGCCCTACTCCCACCACATTCCCCTCTCCCACCGAGCCTTATCGACTTTTATGGCAATAACAGAATTTGTGTCTAATACACCGGAGCACATCCTAGATGGGATTCTGGGAACACGTGTGCAGTGGTTACTTTTCCTACTTCTCCTTTGTGCTCTTGGCTGGCACTGGGAGACAGAACCAAAGCATCACTTCACATCTCACCTGCAGGCTCCTTTGCCACCTCACATCTTGCAGCAGAGAGGAACAAAAGCCCTGCTCCTGCATGGGCGTGCAGTCACTGACACATGCTGCCCTCACAGAGGAGGCTGGCAGTGCCTTTGTGGGAATAACCCTTGGCAGAAAGGATGGGCCAGGCTGGCTATGCCCATGTCCTACCATGGAATTATCTTGGGCACAACCCTATGGGGTGCTCAGGGACATGCTGAGTGCTCAGAGCATCTCAGAGGGCACCTGCTGATTTACCTTGCTGGGTCAGGGCCCACCTCCCTGCTGGTATGCAAAGAAAATGTACATTCAAAATGGTTCTTAAACACAAGTGAACAGCCCCAGATCCCCTCCTGTGCCAAATTAGCGTTACGTACACTCCAGTGCTCCCCCAAAAGGTCTACCCAAGGAGTACACTGCCATTTCACCAACAAGATACACGAGTGTCTACCTCAAAATCTGCATTAGTCCAGTGGTATGGAGGTGGTGAGAGGGAGCAGCCCCACAGCAAGCTGCCATAGCACATCCAGCCTGTGCCCTCCCTGATTGCTCACCCTGCAAATTCTCCACTAATCTCACCCCATTGGGAGACACAGGAGAAGTGCTCGGGAGAACTCCCACAGGCTTTCCCAACCAAAGCGCAGGATAGAGGTGTTTTTTTCACATGAATCAACAGCTGGGTCTGTAAGACGTGTTTGTCAACAAGCTTCTCTGTTGGCTACAAATTTTCCTTCTAGCACAAAACAGTCCCCTCAGTTTGCCAGGGCAGACTGGGATGGAGGGGGATTTCCCAGGGCAGTGTAGCTACCAGGAATCTGGTTTTTGCTATCAGCACATCTTGCCACCAGTGAGGGCAGAATTGGCAAAGCAGCTTGCAGCAGGTCATTTATGCACCCTAGAAGTGTGGAAATGTTGTCAGTAACTTCTGTGGGGACAGCAGGCCTGGGACTGGTAGGCCAAAGATTTCAGGTTTAGATCTTTAAATCTGAGCATCTTTGTGCTCTTAAACAGATTGCCCTTCAGAGCAGGCACATTTCTACTTCTGTGGAGGTAAATGCATTTGCAAACCAAGCCCAATATTCAGACACCCAAACCCCCAAACCTGAAAATCTCTGATGTATTTCATACCCAAGTCTGTAACATTTGAGAGGGGAAGCCCATGGCCTGGTTCCTGTATGTCGGATATCCAGGCTATTCGTCAGTTCTCAGTAGTCTTTCTACCCATAAGAAATACTAAAGTTATGTAAGGAAGAAAGCCAAAAAGTCCTCTTTCAATTCCAGCCAGTATCTGGAGCAGCATTATATTTCTTGTAGAGTGTATTCATTAACAACATTGCTAAAGGGGAATTGCTGCTGTGGTTGAGCGCTTATACAATACAACTCCTATTTAAGTGCATTTTTGTATCCTGCTGAGTCACCCCAAGGAGCCCTCAAACAAAACATCACGTTCAGTTTGACAGCAGAGGCAGAGGCATGAAGAACTTCCCCTTTACCAGCCCTCCCTGGGGGGATGTGAGTGCAGAATGGGCGACGCTTCAAACTATGGAACCAAATGCAAAGCTGAAAGAAAAGAGTGTCTTAAAATTTCAGCCAACATATCCCCCTGTACAGATTCAAGCACATGACATTTCCAGTCTGTTTCAGCTTCAGTGAATAGATTAAAGTGGCCATACACTCTCTGAACTGCTTAGGTCACATTGTACTTCAGGCAAGCTCCCTCTAAATCAGAGGACACATTATTTATATAGCATAATATTTCACTATTAGGTCTAAATGAATGTGGCTGTTTATTATCCCATATTAAAGCTGAGTGGGTTAGTACAGCATGAGCCTCTTGGCTTGTTTTGCTGCCAGCTGCCTTTTGGGCTGCTGGGGACACTTCCCTTGCCCCAGGTCTTCAGCGGGCAGCTGCAAGCACAAGGGCTTGCACAGCACCACAGCAAAGCAGGGACTGTTTATACAAAAAAAAGTAATGTTTTCTCTGCAGGAACGGTGCAACAGGTAGGATTTTTGTCTGTACAAATTCCTGCCAGCGCCACGTCCCTGCAGGGAAGTCAGAAGATGGAGATGGGGTTTGAGGGGATGCAGTGGCTGTCCCATGAGCTAATCCAAGGTGCTGCTGGCATCACTGCCTGGAGGGCAGCTGGGCTGTGCTGGAGCAGGGAGCTATCTATACCTGGCTGCACCCTGCAGAGATGTATGCATCATTCTGCACTGTGTCAGGTCTTGCTACAGCACAGCCCCACAGGCTTGACCCTTGCTGTTGGATTCGGAGAAGAGCACAAGAAGACCAAAACCTGAGCCCTGTCTGATGGTTCAGTCTCAAATGAGCTGCAGAGGAAAAAGTTGAGGTGCTCCTACCACTGCCAGTTGGCTCCAAATCTGAAAGAAACCAATATAGTAGCTTTGTTGCCACTGTAAGTACAGTTGGACAGAGGTGGCAGATCACTCCTTCCAGCTATGGATGAGCAGTATTACTGTGCATCTATAGACTAGGAACAATGAAGCTATAAAGACAGCTTTAACAGCTGCAATTGATTTCACTGGTGCTTGGCACAGACCACTGTAAAGCTACTTAGCAGTAGAGGACATCTAGTGATATTCACATGCAACTACAGAAACGTGATAAAAGTTCACATGGGTCTGCTTCAGAGCCAGCATGGCTAGAGACAGGACATGGTGTGGCTCCAACAGCTGCAGGAGGGCTGGGACAGGCTGACCGTGAGCACCCTCTATAAACAGGTCACAAAGGAAAAACCTCCTGAAAGGCTTTCTTGCATGGAGAACATACAGTGAGGGCACAGAGAGGAAGTTCAGGGGAACTGGTGGTGTTGCACCTTTTAAGAAGGAGATATTACAAGGAAGTTCAGTGCTTCTATGTCTATAGCAAAGACCATGTAAGCAGGGATACAGAGATTAACATCAGTCGCTTTCTTTCAGGAGTCTTTTCTCTTATCTCAATTTGCCTTTCATGTGACTCATCCTGAGCACACACTGCAAACAGCTTCAAAATCAAGATATTTTTTCTCCTCTAGTACAAGAGGTCAACCATTTCTTCATACCCTTTTGCAGCCTACTGCTCTCTGCTCTAGGAAGGATGCATAGAATCCCTCCTCCAGGTTATTTATAACAGGGGATTCTCTAGAAATTTTTTTCAGGACATATTCCAGGCCTAGGATAAGGAATTTGGCTGCAAAACAAAGAGACTACCAATTTGGTTTCTAGAAAGGCAAGGATCAGCAGAGCTTTATAAAAGAACACACTTCCCTAGGGCAATAGACTCATTTTACCTGACACTTCCCTTGAATGGAATTGTTCCCATTAAGATCACCATTAATTTAGGAGTACAGGCTTCACATTTGAGGTCTCACCATCTTGCACTTATTTCCATGTCAGATTCACTCTGTCTACAAGTTTTGAGGAAAGGTGAGACTTTATTAGTCCTAATAAAACACAAGGAAATTAAGTCTCTGCTGGCCAGATTAGAGCCTTGGAAATAGCTGTGCAAACCTACAGCAGGCAAGTTTGTGGTTTAGCTGCCCAAACTGGCTTCAACTCAGCAAACAGGGCTATTAAATGATGGCAGCAGACCGGACAACACTGATGGGTGCAAGCAGAGAGTGACCACAGGATCAGCTGCCATACAAGACTTTATCTCTTACAGAACCATTTTTCTGGGCTGGATTACATGCTGAAGGCCTGATCCTGGTCACTCTTGCAATGACAACTGAATATGAATCTGGTGTGCAGAGATATCTACTCAAAATGCAAAGGGCGATGTTGAAAGGCCACAGAGACAGAGGCAAAAGAACAGAGGAAAAGGCTGTATTAGCTAACTGCAACAACTGTTGGTTCTTCTGCCCTTCATGCATTTATGTTATTTATCAATGGACTCTATATTTAGCAATCATAAGACCAGAGAACGGAGCAGCCCCAGCTCTTTGCTGGCAAAGGGGCTCTCCAGAGGGCAGCTGGTGGCTAGCAGAGACTGGCACAGCTCTGAGAGCTACACAGTAGCTGCTC